AGACTTTTCGTCACTTTGATGTTCCTTCCTCTCTGTGAAGCCTAAAGGCTAATGATAACTATCGAAACGCCTGCCATCTGATATAAAAAATAAATTTTTATTCGACAATCCCATAGCAACTCAGTGGCATGGCTAACTAATCCGTTAAATGAACTGATCAACAATTTCAACTAGAACTCGATCAAAAATCAAAGATTAAATTAAAGAAATTGAGCTCTGGAGCGCTATGGAGGGACTTATAATTGTTATGGGTAGGTGAGTGACCCAATACCCATCGAATCAATGAGGGCGGGGGTTTGAAAATTAAAATTTTTTAAATATATTCTATTACAACTCAGGCAGGGGAAACAATTGGAGTTGGGGGGGGGGGTTAATTTTCAAAATATACCAGTGACACTAAAAGTGGTAATAAATTAAGTGTCCTTCGTAAAATGCAGGAAATTCCAAGAGCCTCTAAATTTAGTGACATGAAAGAGAGGGCACTGAATTGTCGCGCACTTGCAGTGTCACAAATTTTGGGCGGCTCGAGAGGTGAAAAGGCAATTGACTAGAAAGGGGAGAAATAAGGTAGTTGAGTGTTCACAGGGTCATAAATACCGCTGCGCATGATTGGAGAATTCTGCCCATTCTTTGTTGGCCTAACCATAAAACCAAGGATGGTTTCAGCTCCGGGAATCCCCACCCGAATATGTTCATCCAAGTACGATAAAATGACACTGTTTGACATTTTTAAATGGGAGTTTTACTTGTCCAAGTGCATATAAATTCATCGATCATCTTTTGTCAATCGCAGACCATAAAGGTACCCCGACGTCTATTTATCAACGAATTTTCCTTCCAATACAATGGAGTCACTAATTAACTAGGAGTAATCGAGCTGTTATTAGCTTTTTGAATTAAACCTTATTTCTTCATATCTATCATAGTTTCATATAAGAAATACGCATTTGACGTTGTCTATTTCCTGTATTGATTGATAGATTGCAAAAAATGTAAGTAGTCAATTATATTTTATAGGAACAGATCAGGGACTACCACAATTATTACAATTATTGTATGAATATTACTAAATTCACCCATTTCCTTGAGCTTAAAAATAATGTACTTGAGTTCATATTCTTCCCTCATATTCTTTTTCCATTAATCACGTTGAGCTAATACATCTGACAATGTAATTCACTATCAGCTGAGTTGACAGGTGTACAAGTGATGTGTAGGCAAGATACAAGGCACTAATTAGGAAACATGGCGGTGTATCTGCCTATCTGTGCTAAGGACC